ACATTTAAGAAGGCAACTCTGAAATTATAGAACAAAAATATGAGATCATTTTTTACAAAAACGCAAATACTTTGTTTCTAAACACTTTAATTACTGAGAACATTTTAAAAAATGTTAAGCATGTTAAGGAAATTATTTAATTTGAATATAAATCATGGTCACGCCACATGACATTTTTTAAGGCTACGGCCAATTCATCTAGATGAAAAAACACTAAAATCACTTAATTTTAAATTTTAATATGAATTTATGTGTACACAACATTCTTAATGTTTGAACAATTACAATATATATTATAATTATTTGTATTTTATATGTCAATGACCCATTTTATATACACACACACACACACACACACACACACACACATATATATATATATATATATATAAGTCCTGGGATTTATTTAATATCAATTTTAATATTAATTTATCTATAGTTTTATGTATTTTAATGTGCACACACAGCAATATATAAAACAATGTTTCAACATTTTAAAGGTGCCCATTTTCCAAAAGTTGATATGATTCTTTAGGGTCTTAATGAAAAGTCTGTAACATAATTTGGTTAACATTTCTCAATAGTAGTTTAGAAAAACAGTTTTTACCCTGTCAAAAACAGCTCTTTTCAGATCAAGCCGTTTTGTAGCATTTTCCTTTAAGTGTAAATTAGCTCTGATGACCCCGCCCCTCTCTTCCCAGCTGCTCTCTGAGGGATTGTTTACTTTAGCCGCATTCATCATGAAACTTGCTAATTAGCACATTATTATGAAAGGCGATTTGCAAAGATTCACTCACTTCTTCTGTAGGTGAAGCTGGATCATGAATGATTCGCGCGAATATAGACGCATTTATGTAGATCGCATTCCCTTCAGAAACAAACATAATCCACTGCGTCTTCAGCGGCTCAGATGTCGGGAGTAAATGATGACTGCTGTTCATTATTACATCCAACAACAGAACACCTCGATCGCTCAGGAGTCATTCTTGTCTACATCTGCTCCGGCGGTGAAACAATGGCGGACTGATGACAGTCACTCAGGGCGGAGCTAACTATCGTGGGAGGGGCCTGTCTGTGTGACGTCACACAGACAGGCATCTGAGATCGGCTCGATTTGAGAAAGGGGAAAACATTTAACAAGATTAAGAAAAAAACACTGGGTGGATCTTTATCATTATTGGGTGGTTGTGTACACACACTGCCAACACATTTAAGTTCAAACAACTTGGAAAAGTTCATGTAGCATCCTATGACCCCTTTAACAAATGATAAATGCATAATTATAAAGTACTACTTCTCTCTCTCTATAACTATTTTTTAATATGATCTATTCTTTAATAAATAAAAACAATTTTTGTGCTTGTTTTAACACCAGTGAGAGACGAGAGACAGAACAGCTTGAGCAGTCACGTGATCAGCCACCGCCACCAATCAGAACACAGAAATCACTGAACGTCACACTCACTCCTTCGGGACGCTCTATAAAGCTGGGGTGGGGCTTATGTGGTGTGGGGATTATCAAAGGGGGCGGGGCTTATCTAATGGGGTTGGGGCATATCAAAGGGGGTGGGGCTTAGCAAAGCATCAATTACCCTCTATTGTTTCTCTGTCCTTCAGTCTGTGTGTCTGATAGCAGCGCTCATGATGATGATGATGATGATCGCTCCTGACATTAATTGCTCTTTCACACATACTGTTGTTAAGAAGCCGTCAGTCGGCTAATCATCAATGATGAGTTCAGCTCTCCGCGGGTCACCAGACTCGACTGTCCAGTGTGATGATGGACAGGAAGTGACATCAGCTGTGATCTGAACATGTCTGGACTCATCTGATCAGACTGACAACACTCTTACATTAACAATTATTATGAAATGCACAATAACTGTGATGAGAACTGAACCACGATAAAGCACACTGCTGTCTGGAGCGGTTATCGCTGCATACTGATTCACATAAAAACAGCACGGAGTATTTAATAGAAGCCTTCGGGATGACCTCATTTACATGTAAATTAGCGTGTGTGTGTGTGTGTCGCAGCTGCAGATGAACACACACGAATCTTTCAGCCCTGAATTCTGTATTCACAGCCAAACTGACCCATTAAAATGAGACACTGTGTTTGTGTGTGTGTGTGTGTCAGGTCACCTTTATTTCTATAGCAAGTGTCAAAGTAGCTTTACAGTGATAAACAGGAAGTAAACAGTGTGTGTGTGTGTGTGTGTGTGTGTTTGTGTTAGTGTGTGTGTGTGTTTGTGTGTGTGTGTGTGTGTGTGTGTTATTCCTCTGAACGACATGTCCGTCACGACTAACAGCAGCAAAGCGTTCGCACACACATAACGTGTTTTACCTCGATCCGGTGCAGGTTATCGAGAAACAAACACTGAAGTCTGTTTGTCAGAGTGAAACGTTCACAGCAGAGAAACGAGTGAAAGACGAGGGAAGCTGAATGAACGGAGGAGAAACAGGAGGTGCGAGCGGCGTTCCTCAAACACACTGGCTCTTCTCTGAAGTCGAGGCCATATGAAGACATCACGCTCACACACACAGATGCAGAGGCGTGCAGAATCACACACACACACACTCACTCTTCAGAGAAACACTCTGCTGCTGGGGTGACTGGACACTTAAAAAAATGGCATAAAAATGTTAAAAAAAAAAAATACTATTAAAAAAAGAAAAAATGCAATATAATATTATACATTAAAATTGTTTTGTATTAAATGCATAAATATGCACGCACTGATCACAAAAAGAGTGTTTTAAATGGGTTATATTTGTTGGGCTGTCTCTGGGTTTGGATGCGGTCTTCTTCACCTTCAGCATTTTATTTCACTGACATCTAGTAACTAGCTTACGCTGTTTGAACCCTTCTTAACGAACCTAACCATAAAAACTAAGTAAGTCGACACATATCCTGGTCCGAGCCGGTCTAGTAATCTCTCCTAACACCAGAGAGATGTTCATTAAGCAAAGCAGATCAGCTTCAGATCTACAGGAAACAGGAAGTGAAGGGACTCTGGCATGTATGCTAATGCTCCAGTGTGTCTGCATTTCACTTAGCGACCAATTAAAGCAACTAAACCAACAGGGAGAGCTCGAAAAACCAATCAATCAACAAAATAAATCAGCCAATTAAGAGTTGAGATTAAATTAACATCAAATTACATGCAGGAAGACATAATGAAGACGGCGGGTCCTCACACACACACACACACTCACACACACTCACACTCACACACACTCACACACACACTCACACACACACACACACACTCACACACACTCACACTCTCTCTCACACTCTCACACACACACACTCACACACACACACACACACTCACACACACTCACACTCTCTCTCACACTCTCACACACACACACTCACACACACACACACACACTCACACACACTCACACTCTCTCTCACACTCTCACACACACACACTCACACACACACACACACACTCACACACACTCACACTCTCTCTCACACTCTCACACACACACACTCACACACACACACACACACTCACACACACTCACACTCTCTCTCACACTCTCACACACACACACTCACACACACACACACACACTCACACACACTCACACTCTCTCTCACACTCTCACACACACACACTCACACACACACACACACACTCACACACACTCACACTCTCTCTCACACTCTCACACACACACACTCACACACACACACACACACTCACACACACTCACACTCTCTCTCACACTCTCACACACACACACTCACACACACACACACACACTCACACACACTCACACTCTCTCTCACACTCTCACACACACACACTCACACACACACACACACACTCACACACACTCACACTCTCTCTCACACTCTCACACACACACACTCACACACACACACACACACTCACACACACTCACACTCTCTCTCACACTCTCACACACACACACTCACACACACACACACACACACACACACGCACTCGCACTCGCACTCACACTCTCACACTCTCACACACACTCACTCACTCACACACACACACACACACACACACACACTCACACACACTCACACACACACACACACACTCACACACACTCACACACACACACACACACTCACACACACTCACACACACACACACACACTCACACACACTCACACACACACACACACACTCACACACACTCACACACACACACACACACTCACACACACTCACACACACACACACACACTCACACACACTCACACACACACACACACACACTCACACTCTCACACACACACTCTCACACTCTCACACACACTCACACACACACACACACACTCTCTCACACTCATACGGCAGAAACACGGCGGCTTCAGCTTCGGAGCAGCGCAGATGAGATCAGACTCTCAGATGCAGTTTGATTCACATTCATGATGCCTCAACAGTGGACCAGCAGTGTTTGGACGAGAATGACACTCGCATTTACATCAACAGCCACAGAACAAATCCAGCTCAGCATTTCCACAACTTTACAAAACATATAAAGTAGGCATTATATTTACACTCACGTAGGGTGATATACACACACACACACACACACACACACACACACACACATATATATATATATATATATATATATATATAAAATCATGATTTTCTTGTTGTTTTGAAATAATGTGCATTGTGAAAAATGCCATGGAAATACATATAAAGTACTATATAAATATATAAAGTGCTATATATATTCCTCTTTTGCATGTCGCTTTGAATATAAGCATCTGAATCTGAAGCATCTAAATGCATGGTATATTTTATTTATATATTACTTATATAAATATTATATAAAACAATGATGCTCATTAATGTGTAGATGCACATGTGATAAGGGTGCATAAATCACACTGGAGTTAAAACAGGAGCTGGAATAAGAACTACTTCTGCTACAGTGTGATGTTCTCCGGATGAAGCCGATGGCGTGACGGCGGTGTGTGTACTCACGATCGCTGCAGTGCGAGCCCCCGTAGGACGTCATGCTGCAGTCGCACGAGAAGCCCTCCCACTGCTGCAGACACACCCCCTGATGATGACACGAGTCCTCCGTACAGGTGGTGCTGGGTCCTGCACACACACACACACACACACGGTCATACGGAGTGTTTCCCAGCAGAGCTTGTGCTGGTTCAGTGAGATAACGTGACGCAGCAGCAGAAGGATGAACGTGAGAGTGGAGTTTAAGACGAGTGATCGGTCATTATCGTCACATAAACACACTACACATTCAGATCTACAGCACGTTCAGATGAATCATGAAGCATCTCTCACGACAGCAGCGATGACTTTCAGAAGACACTCCAGTCCAAACTAGAATCTGAAGACTCAGAACACTTGTGCTGTGCAGATAAATGATGGCATTTATTATATTTGATGCGCCACATCCTCAACAAAATTAATATTTCCATTCATCAAGGCTGCATTAAATTGATCAAAAGTGCCAGTAAAGACATTTAGAATGTTACAAAAGATTTCTATTTCAAATAAATGCTGTTCTTCTGAACTTTCTGTTCATCTGTGAATCCTGAAAAATAAAATGCATCACAGTTTCCACACAAATATTGTGCAGCACGACTGTTTTCAACATTGATAATAATCAGAAATGTTTCTCGAGCAGCAGATCAGCATATTATACTGATTTCTGAAGATCATGTGACACTGAAGACTGGAGGAATGATGCTGAAAATACAGCTGCGCATCACAGAAATACATTACAGTTTAACAGAGATTCACAGAGAAAACAGCTGTTTTACATTAGAATAATATTTCAAAATTTTTGCTGCATTTTTAATCAAATAAAGGCAGCGCTGGTGAGCAGAAGAGACTTCTTTCAGAAACTCTTACCGACTGACTGTGTGTTAATCAGTGAACGTGTGTCAGGATTCGGTGAGTTCATGTCTGAATCCACAGCTTCACAGTCCTGAACTCTCTCTTGATATAGAATATAGATTATTACAATAAATGTGCAATTTTAAGTGTAAAGACAAAAAAAAGGTTTTGCCATTTATTTCCGTGGACGCAGCGGCCCAATTAAAGGAAACCTCTGCAGCGTGACTGGATATTATTCTACTTGACTGTTGAGCTGATTGTGTTCTAATCACACACTAATGACTCGCCTGAGAGGATGAATTCATTACTGGCCTTTATTCTACACGGATATAGTGTCTCTGTGTGTGTGTGTGTGTGAGAGAGAAAGAGTGTGTGTATGTGTGTGTGTGTGTGTGTGTGTGTGTGTGTGTGTGTGTGTGTGTGAGAGAGAGAGAGAGAGTGTGTGAGAGTGAGTGTGTCTGTGTGTGTGAGAGTGTGTGTGTGTGTGTGTGTGTGTGTGTGTGTGTGTGAGTGAGTGAGAGTGTGTGTGTTTGAGATTGTGTGTTTGTGTGTGTGTGATTTATTGTAGTAACCAGTGTTGGGGAACGTTACTTTTAAAACTTTTAAAAGCATTACAATATTGCATTACTCCAAAAAAAAGAAGTAACTAATTACGCTACTTAGTTACTTTTTATGGAAAGTAATGCGTTACGTTACTTTTGCGTTACTTTTTAAATCTGGACAGGGCTTGCTTGTTTGTTTTTAAAATAAAAAAGTTATATTAAATACATAAAGGATATTTGTGCTGTTTAACATTTAATTATTGCAGGTTTGCGTCATATTCTGAGTTGCATTATTTTTATTCATTTTGAGGAATACTGAATCTGTTTTTATTTTTGTTTTTGTGAGTGAGATGAATTAATGCATATTCATATTTATTTTAGAACTACAGTAACATCTTCTGATTTCTGTCACCATGGCGACACCAGAGCTGTCACTCAATACATTTGAAAAAGTAACTCCGATATTCTCTTGTAAATTAAAAAGTAATGCGTTACTTTACTAGTTACTTGAAAAAGTAATCTGATTACGTAACTCGCGTTACTTGTAATGCGCTCTCCCGACACTGGTAGTAACACTCACTGCACCGTGGTATTGTGGCACAAATGTGGGATATTCACATTGAAATGTATTACAGGAGTAATGGTATATAATTATAGTATGTATTTGTGATTAAGCTATAGCGTGTGCATTTATACTGAATGTTTTTAGACTACTGTTTTTCATACAGGCTACCTAAAAAACCATATAGTTATATTTTTACCATGGTATTGAGGTGCTATATGTGTGGTTTTAACTGTGTTCATCATGATTTAAATGTATGCTACTATGGGAGACCAATGCTTAATTAAAAAAAAAAAAACTTCAGAATAAATGTAACCATGTAAAATTGAGATTGCTACAAGTTTTACAGATGTCACTGATTTTGATTATGAACAAATATATACCTCTGCATCCTAACTCAGGATACTATCAAATGTGCATTTCTAAGAGACAAAAAAGTGATATTATTATTATTAATATTATCAGGCAACCCAAATCTGTTTCTTGATTTGAAACAATATCACTCATTAGAACATGCAGAAACTAACAAATTAATATTTCTATTTAGATATTTATTTTGTTAAGTAAAATTAATGGTCTGGTTTCTACAACTTTCACTTTGGAGCAAAAATCTGGCTTTAAAAATAAAGATTTGACAGTTACCGTGATAATTATCGATATCAATATCGTGATAATGTTTTGGGCCATATCGCCTAGCCCTAATCATGCATTTTCAGATTAGCGCCCTGAAAAAGCGGCATAGGATTTACTTTGAGACCATTTTCACTCAGAAACTGCTAGTAAATTTAAAATAATTATAAAAAAGGGCAAACACAGTGTAAAATGATATGATCAGTGAGTCAGAAGCGTTTCCATTGCTTTCACTTATAACTTATCATTACTTTAAGTTGAAGCTGGACAATTTTCTACAGTGAATTAAACATGAAATTTTAAAGTAGACTGATCCAGTATTTTTTTGTAAAACATACTCCAATAATCTTTATTTACAACTTCCATTCGGAGCAAAACAAAGCCATCCAATCCCTTCTGCACACACCGTGTCTCATTACACCTCTGCTTTTCTGGCTTTACTGTACTCTCATGTTTGTGTCTGAAACGCAAAGCCGAAATAAACCCCAATGATTCTCCAGTTGCTTTAAGAGACACAAACAACTGCGTCTCTTTAATATCTGACGCTGTCAAGCTTTGAGCAGCAGCAGTCTGATGAAGGCTGAATTGTTTCTGGCAGCACAGATGATAATAATGTTGTTTTTGCAGAGAGAGACACTGGAGGGAAACGAGACGGAGTCCGTGGGGAAATCACACACAGAATATCACAGCAGCCTGTTTCCACCAACAACAGCGCTTTCTGAACCGCATTAGAGACACAGATCCAGTGCATCTACAATGCTTGACAAAGTATGATCCAACATAAAATTAGCACTAAAATGTGACCTTCTCAACTGTAGCCAACCATTAACAACACACAAGACCACATACTCTAAATATCCACTTCATTATAGTCAAAACTACACAACCCTCACACACATCTATACACCATCTCAACATTTGAGGTCAGTACTATTCCATTTTTTAAAGAAATTGCTACTTTTATTCATCAGGGCATGCATTCAATTGATCAAAAGTGAGAGTAAAGACATTTATAATGCTACAAAAGGTTTCTGTTTAAAATAAATGCTGTTCGTTTGAACGTTCTACTCATCTATTCACTTTAAATTCACATAATGTTTCACTTCCAGGTAACTGAATTTGGAAAATAAATATAATGAAAAACAACTGCTAATCGAAAAAATGGAAAAAAGAAAAATTGTTAATATTTGCTGTTATGTTCCTGTAATGAGTAGTGTTTAGCTTTTAATAATTAAATATATCCATTAGAATATCAGAACGCTTGTGATCTCAATTCAACAGTATATATATCTATATAGTAGTTTCATACTTGCTTGGCCTCTCTTCATTTCGGCATTGACAACTCTGTTTATATTAGCTCGCTAGAATCTAATGCAGCAGCTCTGCTCTAGAGCTTATTTTTTATTCATTATTGTATATTTTCTTATCCCGTGCATCCTCGTGCATAATTGATATTGTAAGTTAGCTGTATAACAGAATGTAAGCTATTCTGAAATTAACCAAGGCACGTTACAGGGGTCATAGGATGTTGCTAAAAAGAACATTATGTTGTGTATTTGGTGTAATGAAATGTGTTTATGCGGTTTAAGGTTAAAAAAAACACATTATTTTCCACATACTCTACATTATTGTTTCTCCTCTATGCCCCGCCTTTCTGAAACGCGTCGATTTTTACAAAGCTCATCGTTCTGAAAAGCGAGGTGTGCTGTGATTGGCCAGCTATCCGGTGCTATCCAGTGCTATCCAGTGCGTTGTGATTGGCCGAATACCTCAGAGCTTATTTTTTATTCATTATTGTATATTTCTTATCCCGTGCATGCTCGTGCATAATTGATATTGTAAGTTAGCTGTATAACAGAATGTAAGCTATTCTGAAATTAACCAAGGCACGTTACAGGGGTCATAGGATGTTGCTAAAAAGAACATTATTTTGTGTATTTGGTGTAATGAAATGTGTTTATGCGGTTTAAGGTTAAAAAAACACATTATTTTCCACATACTCTACATTATTGTTTCTCCTCTATGCCCCGCCTTTCAAATGTGCTGCACACATCTGAATATTTGGGTTGAAGTGTTCTGGAACAGTGTTGCAAATACAACTTAACCACTGATTTCTAGTCGTGTCCTCTTTTGGAAGGCCAAACAAAGTAGTTTCACTTTCGCAACAAAACACACAGCGTCTCCACGATAGCAACAATACTACAGCGAGAATAAAAGTTACGCCTTCTTCTTTGCGTATACATTTGCGTATACTTTGCATATACAATCTTCCCACATAGTGATGTAGACATGCCTGGCAAAATTTCTCAAAAAGTTCCCAAACCCCGTATCATTAGCCGAACGTCCTCCGCGCGCACGTCACACGCACATAAACACATCTGTCAGCAGTTAGGAAAGAAATGACACAAAGCGAGCGCAACTAACCAATACTACTAACCAGACAGTCACTAACTCAACAGCTTTCAAACTCAAAGCCACGTCATGAATGAATGAATGCATAATTT